TCCACAGACACTGAAGCAGCCTCACATGACCATCCTCAGAATGGACATGACATTGGTGTGGAGGAGGAAGCACAAACCCAGAGCCCAGCCCTGTCTAGGGAAACTGGGAACATCGGGTGAGAGCGCAGGGTGGGAGGGTGCAGGTCTCCCAGGAGGACACAGACTCTGCTCCTGACCTGGGTGGGGGTGAGTGACACAGACAGGCAGAGTCAGGTCCAAAACTGTTCTCATGCCAAAAACAAGGCCTGAGGAGAAAGTGATGGTTCTCAGATGGCAGCCAGGTCAAAAAGTTCCAGGGAAGGGTGATTTCAGGCATGGTCTCCCCTCTTCAGTAGAGATTGGACTCCAAGTCCAGGAAAGAGATGTCTTTGGAGAGAGTCTCCCTAATACAGAATATGATACCCAGGGGCTCCTTGCCTCTGACCAGAAAGCAGGTGCTGTTCTGCCCATTATCCCGTTTCCCTTTGGGGTCCAGGGTGAGGGGTTCCGAGGCCTTGAGGCCCCCTTACCTGTGCGCTGCAGCACCTCCTTCCCCAGCTCCAGGAGTCTGTGGAGCCATGTCAGGCACCTGTCCTGCACACAGTTCCTGACGCGCTCCGCCCTCCCCAACGCCTCCCACTGGCGCCGGGTGATCTGGGCCACCGTGTCCGCGGGGGTCCAGGAGCGCAGGTCCCAGTTCAGGGCGATGTAATCGGCGCCATCATAGGCGAACTGCTCGCACCCACGGAGGAGGCTCCCGTCGGGCCCCACCTCGCAGCCACACATCCTCTGCAGGGTGTGAGACCCTGAACCCCCCTGTGTCAGCCCCGCAGTCACCCAGGTCCAGCTGCCTCCCCCAACCCCACCCAAATCAACCTAAACTGAACATAAAGCTACAAGCAGGAGGGTCCCGGGGACTCTTCCCTGGGGGAGGGGCCGGGCAGGTCCGTCAGCCTCCAGTGGGACCCTGAGACTCCAGGCACCCCGCCTTATGGTGGGAATGGGGGTGGTGACCTCACCCAGGGGTCCCTCAGTGATGCTCACCGTTGTTGTTGCTCTGGTTGTAGAGGCCCCGCAGGTCCTGCAGCAGCGCTTTGAACCACTGAGCCTGGTTCCTCTGGTTCCTGGTCTCCTCGTCCAGTTCCTTCTGCCTGACCTGCCCCGCCCAGGGCGCCCGCAGCTCCACACTCTGACCCGGAGAGTCGTTGTCGAACCTCCCGAACTGCGTGTTGTCCACGTAGCCCCCCGTGATGAAGCGGGGCTCCCCGGGGCCATGCCGGGACATCGCAGTGGAGAAATACATCAGGGAGTGGGAGCCTGGGGGCGGGAATGGGGACCTGGGCTGACCCTCCTCACAGTGCAGGGCCCAGGTCCCAGGGAGATGGGCCTGGAGGGGAGAAAGGGGCAAGGGGGCTCCTGAGAGTAAAAGGGGCCAAGAAGGGCCCAGACTCAGGGGGCCCAGAGCACCCAGTGATGCAGGGAGGGACAGAAGGGCAGAACACAGGGGCCTGAAGGGGGTACTAGAGGTTGGGATGGAGATGAGCGTTTCCTGGGGTCCTGCACCCACAGTGGGCCCTGTCTCTCCCTCCTGGAGCAGTTTCCAGCTGGCCCCGCACTCACCTGCCCAGGTCTCCATCAGGGTCAGGGACCCCCAGAGCAGCAGCAGGAGCATGGGGTGCATCACACCCCGTCCTGGGGTCTGTGGAGAGTGAGTCCGGGGAGTCGGGGGAGGCTCTGTCATGGAGCAGGATGACGCTGAGTGTTCCCTGAAAACCCCAGGACATGGGAAGAGAGAATGGAGTGAGTGTGGGGTGATACAGTCTGCACCCCACAGAGACTGTGAGAGGAGACATGATGCTGTAACAGTGACCCCCACTGAAAGGGGGATCCACATTCCCTCCCCACCTTAAGGAGGAGTGGATTTGGGCTGGGAGGAGCAGCCTGAAGGGATGAAGGAAGCAGCAATGTTTTCAGGTAACTGTGACTATTCCATTTTGATACTAAATTAAAGCTGTACAGCTGGGAGTTTCTCAAAGCTTATTGGCAAAGGGGAACCTGCAGTACTATCATGGAATATTTTCTAGGCTGTTACATTTCCATAGGCCTCTCTTGCATATTGGTTGGAAATTGTGCTGATGTGATTTTTTTGGTAATGTGTTGTTTCACGAAGTTACATAGATGTTCAGTGTTACACTGGAATCAAATTATTAAAAAAGTTTTATTTTATAATCATGAATCCCAAAATAAATTAAGTATTACAAGTTGTCAACTAGTGATGGCATCAATTTTTCATAATTCTTATTTTCTCTGAGAGCTTGTGTTTTATCAAGGCAAACTCACTATCAATTCTCAATTGTCTATTGATTTTCCTCAGGAAACAGACATTCATTTGAGGAAAGTGTCTGCTCATTAACCAAATCTAAATAGCTTTACATTTTGTCATTCATCCCTTCAGGTGAGGATGGTGTTAACCACAAATAAAAAGAGGCTAATTCATCACATCAGATCTTTCCTCAAGACACAGTGTGGGGATCCCGCAGAGAGCTCTGTGTGCTCACAGGTCACCACACCAGGTATTTTAAAATGTGGATCTGAAGATGACACATTGATGGTAATTTTTAATGCTTTTTCCAGGACATTTTCAAGTGAAGCTGTCTTTAACTTTTGTGCCTGCTGGTGAGTGCTGGTGAAGAGTCACTGCTTCTGCAGTTAGTGCTATAATCTCCACTCTCGATAAATTTCACTTCACAAATGCCAAAACAGTGAAAAATAAATGGCGTCTAAATTATGTTTTGAACAAGTTTTGACCTCATATGGCCTGTGACAGATTCTGGGTGACTTAAGGGTTCCACAGACTATTCTTTGAGCAAAGCCTTCATCAGTAAAACACCTTTGCCTCCACTTCAAGTCCCAGAATTTCTCTCCCAGGCTCCCTCCTCCCAAAACTGCCTCCCCTGAAGATAAGGTGAGAAGCAGAGAGGACCCTGGAGCTGTGGGGCTGCTCTGTCATGACAGAGGGTAACGCAGTACAGGTGACAGGATTCTAGAGAATCAAGTGAGTTTACTTTGTGCTGCCAGAATTTGGGGAGACCCTCCCCTGCTTCCCTGAGCCTCCCATCCAGGGCCCCCAGATGTTCACTGGACAGGGAGGTCCTTGTCTACATCCCTGATGCGTGGTCATGGCTTTACTACAATAATCCAAGACTCTTGATATGTCCCAGGTCCCGAGGTACAGGCCCACCCTGGGTCTGGGATTGCAGAACCTCCCTAGGGACCCACTGACTGTGCTCAGCCACCACCACACTATGTACCCAGATCACTGTAATTAGACGCAGCCCTTGACACCTGAGGGTGCTCCTGCTTTATCTAAGTCACCTGAGTACGGTCAAAACTTAAAGGAGCCCTTGTAGCCATGAGCTAAACTCTAAACAGCCTCTGCTTCTTCCTGGTGTGAGGCGCTCTCTGTGGTTTTGATTTTCACTTCCCTGATTACAGTGATGCTGAACATTTTTCCATAGACCTATGGGCCCTTTGCATTTCATCTTTGGAGAAGTGTCTTTTTAGCTCTTCTGCCCATATTTTGATTGCACTGTTTGTTTTTTGAGTTCTGCGAGCTCTTGCTGATATTTGTCACCAGCCCCTAGTCACTGGTATTGTGTGCAAAAGGTGTCTCCTAGTTGCTTGAGTGGGTCTCTTTGTTTTGGTTAGTGTCTCTTTGCGCTGAACAAGTGTGTTTGTTAAGCCCCTCTGGCTAGGCCCCTCTGTCTGGGTCTCTGACTCACCCTGGGCCCAGAAAGAAGGGTGGGAGATAACATTTCTGGTGCCAGCTCCTGGAACCGGCTGAAACTAGACCCTGATATCTGAAACTTAACCACCACTGAGACATCTGTTCTTGGAAACCCGTCCTTGGGTGTCTCGGCAACCTGTCCTTGAGTGCTGTGAAGTCTGTTATTTCATAAAGGGGGAGATTTTACGTGAGTTTGTGTGAAATATTCTACCTTGCCCAGAACAGGACCTGGCACAGAGTAGGGACTGACTGAGCAAATGCATGAGTGAGTGTGGGGAGCAGAACCCCATAAGCTGAGGCTGATGGAGCAGAAGGAGAGGCAGCTCCCCCTCTTCACCCAGCGGTGGGTGCCTTTCTGTTTGCAGGGGTAGAAGCTCCTCACTAGCTCACCTGGGTCAGGAGCCA